GGAAAAGAAAGTGGTTCTGCTTGGACACTGGTATTTGGCTTCTCATTGTGGCTGGAGGTGGTTCATCCAGCCAGAAACTAACAGGCTTAGCATGAGAGTACAGAAAATGCCACAGCAAATGCTAAGCTAGACCTTTATTTATGACAGCTCTGGATGAGTGTTAATTATTAGCTGAACATAGTGTGTTCTAGAGGCTGTTTGCATTACAGCATGGGAAGGGCCAATGGCATGTAAAATGCGTGTGTTGGTAGGCAGAACAGCAAAGCAAACTGCTTCAGAGGAGAAGAGGGCTTTTCTTTGTTTCCCTTCACTACATATACAGTTTTTAGTAATGCCATGTAGCCATAATGAGGGATTTGCATGAAATTACTCAGGAGATTATACATATAAACATGACTTTTATTAAGACAGGGTGGATTAACAAGGTGTTAGTGAGCAGCAGGTATAGATCAAGTGTTGTCTACATCAGATATATTTCTTGTTAATAGTTGTTTGGACTTCTGGATTAGGTGTTTTCTTGTCTCTACTGAATCAGTGTAGCAGTTTGCAAAAGGGAAAACTACACATGGCATAGAACATAGTAGTTTACTTGGCATGAAAGGCACTTGCTGTGATTTTAGGAATGATGGTCTGCAGAGGCTTTCTTTTGTCAGGTTACAAAATAAATTGAAGTTTTAGCTCCATAGGGTTGTAAGAAGGAAAGAAAGAAAGAAAGAAAGAAAGAAAGAAAGAAAGAAAGAAAGAAAGAAAGAAAGAAAGAAAGAAAGAAAGAAAGAAAGAAAGAAAGAAAGGAGAGAGTATTGATGTGTTTTATGCAAGACCCTGTACTGTTCTTTCAAGTACCAAGCTGCACGAATGTCTTACATTCTTTAGAGTCATGAAACCATTCTCTGAGCAGCATACATGTGTTTTATGTGTTTCTACTTATTTGCAATTAACTACTTCACATGGATAGCTATTTTAAAACAAGCTTGCAGAACTTTCATTTTGATGCCTGTAACCATGCACTTTATTAATTTAGAATCTGACTTTTAATCAGTCTGCCTGGAAATAGAATAACATAATTATTTTCTTCTCTTGTTAAGGGGTGGAGAATGTAGAAAGGGAAAAGGGTCCTGAGCTTGCTGACACTGACCAGCCACTAGCAGTTTTCTGCAATAAATCTTTCTTGGGGTTTTGTTTTTGTGATATGTGCATCTTTGTACAATTCGATTATTTGAACATTCTGAGTTAAGTAACAGGTTAAAAAACCAAACAGGTGAAGTGTGGAAATGTAGCAAAATGAAAATCAATCACTTTGTAGTTGAATACTCTATGAACAGCTCTCACAGAAAACATGTGGAATGTGGTGCAACATCTGATTTATATAATTTTGAGGTCACCTCCTTATTTGGCCCTGAATTAAATGATTTGAGCAAGGCAGGCAGCCTCCCCTTTCACAGGAATGCAGGTTACTTTCCATAGCTGTTCCAGTTGGGTATGTTTGGTATTTGTGTCAGCTTTTGACAAAGATGTCCAGCAACTTTAAGCATAGTGCAAGGAAATATTTGCACTGGAAAATTGACAGAGAAGTCAGTTGCTGGAATAAAAGTATGCAAAAATTGCTGTATTGTAGGGCTAAATCTTGCCCTTCAAATGTGCATAGACGGACTTCTAAAAGTCATAGCCAGAAGGAGAAATGTGATCAGGAAATGCCATATCCTTTCCATACTGGGAGAGTCGGGTTTCAGCAAGACTTTCCCTTCCTAAGATGGTGAGACAAGAGGGGGTGTTGGCAGCATGGACCAGCCTCACCCCTGTGTTATGCTCAGTCCTGGCTGGAATAAAGACATGCATACTTACAATGAGAGCACAAGGTATTAATGCTATGTAGGGCTGTGGTGGTGCATCGTTTAGGGGTGGGCTCACCAGGGTTAGTTTAATGGTCGGACTCCGGGATCTTAAAGGTCCTTTGCAGCCCAAAGGATTCTGTGATTCTGTATAAATTACTGTTCTGGTGGATGTTGATTTCTGTCTCTCTTGGTACTAGATGAAACATCATTGTAAGGCTCTCCCAGGGCCTGGGAAGAAGGATGTTATGGGATTGTAGTGTCCCACATTACTTACAGGATCTGATCCAAAGTCCATCAACACTGATTTACTCCAATGGTATCTGACCACAACCAGAATTTCTAAGTCTCCTAGAAGGAAAATGTTTGACTGTATAAAGAAATGATTGAATTTCTTTTAAAGAGTGATTGTTAATGTCCCTACCTATCTGATCCCACATCCTGATTGCTCTGTCATTTTCATGTTGAAGTATTTGCCTCATGTTTGTACATGAATTTCTGAGAATTTTGAAGAAGGACAAAAGAGATGTATTGTAAGTGAACAGAATGTTAAAATAGGACAAGCTTGTAAAATGAAGATTGAATTTGTGAGCTTGAAATCCATTTAACTCATCCAGAGTGCAGTGCAATGCAAACCCCCAGATTCAGGGTCTGCTAGTTACGTGTACCACAGCACTGTCATGATTCATCAAACCTGCCAGATAAAGGGAGGCTATTTTAAAATTTCTCCTTCAGGGCATGGGGAAGTAGTTCTTGCAAAGATAGAAATTTATGATGATGCTAAAAAAAAATGCAGATGAAGTGAATAATTAATGAATTCACGACAGGACTGAAATATCTTCCTAAAATGCTGCTATTTTTAGCAGGGAGTTCTTCTGCAGTGCTTGTCATGTGATGCTATTGCCTTCTGAGAGCAGGAAAACAATTTGAATTAGTTTCTCTTTCCCCATGGACTTATGTAAGTCCAGTATATAATACCCCTTAGCATCTGAATCTGCCTTAGGACAAACACAGATGATTTAAAACCTCATGCAAAATAAAACACTAATGAAATCTATACTTAAGGATAATCTTCTCTGCAGCAGATTACCTTTCATAATAGTTTGTACTTCTGAGGCTGTACAAGGGGAATACTGCAATGGGTGTAACTGGCAGCTGCTGCTGGTCTGGTGATGCTCAATGCGGCTGCGGTTTCAAGCTGGCAAAGGACACAGAGGCAATTATCAATAGGAGGTTGCAGGGTATGGCTCACAGATAAGGGTTTAATGTGAACAGATTTGTGCTTCTTTTGCCTATAACCAGTGTAGACTATTGCTCTGTTTGAAGTACTTTGAACTAAAAATGTCATAGTCAGAAATTACTCTAAAAAAAGCTGTCACATCCACAAAGGGATATGGTCACTGCCATAGTGAATTTTCAAGTGTTGAACATGTGAAACCAGGTCCTGTCTGGGATTTCTGCTTCCTGAGTGGTAATGAGGTACCCAGTGACCATTAAAGGGGATGTCAGGAGCAGCTCACTTGCTGCTTTCCTTGCCTACTGGAGTTGCCACAAATTTAATTTAGAAGAACCCTCCAAATCCCAAACCTTTAGGTGTTTGGGAGGGCCTGAGGAGGACCCTGTCTTTGCAGCTCAATACCCACTTTGTACAGGTGCAGAGGGGTGTTGGTTTCCTTTCCCCATTTGCATGGAGTTGTTTCCCCCACATGGGATAGTTCCTGGTGACTTTGTAAGGTGTATACGGCTCCTTGGACCTCGCTTGTCCCCAGCCCAGGTGGGCTGCCTTGGGAGCAGAGTGCTTGCCACAAAAAACAGCAGCTAAACACCTGGGCTGAAGCACATTGGTTTGGGAAAGTGTGAGCTGAGTCTCAAGCAGCAGAGGTGGCCCCAAAGGCACCTGCAACTTTGGGGAAGCTGCAGCTTTGGGGATGGTAGACCTTGGGAAGCTCCTTGGTAAAGTCATGGAAGGTGGTTTCTTAGGGGTGCTTGAGCTGTGGCTCCTTAGTTGTGTGCAGGCACAAGTTTATGGCTTAGGTGCCATACACACTTTGCTGCATCTGGGCCTTGGTCTCTGTTTTCCCACCTCCATGCTCCAATCTAAAAGAACTGTTTTAAGATTTAATGTCTGTAAAACACATGCATTGTATGGAGCTTTGTAATAATTAGAAATTGATCCTCAGCTGGAAGCCGAGTGTAGTTGATTGAAATGAGAACTTGTTATGAAAAATACATTGAATTATCACTTTTTTTTTTCTTTTGCCTGGTGAAAAGACTATTTTCAGGCTTATTTTTCCCAGCTTTCCATCAGTTCTCCCATGCTCACCACCTTTTTTCCCAGTAATTTGTGTGAGTCCTTCCTAAAATGAATCTGGTTATCAGGTGGCTGTGTTTTAAGCACTCTATTAAGCAATTTTTTTACAAGCAAATTTAAGCAATGTTAAAGATGTAGAAGGCAACACACAGAACTGGAAGGAGTGGGATTCTGTGGTGGCAGGGGGATCTGATGAGGATCTGATGATCCTCAGTGGGTCCTGTCCTCAGTAGGATGGGATACAAGGATAACGCTGATAATGCAAACCTGGAGGGCTTTTCCTTGCCTGCTTCATCTCAGCACACAGGGTTCATGTTCCTGTTGGGTTGTGGCTTCATGATACAAATAGTAAATCAAATGGAGGGGTAGCAAATTGCACGTCTTTAAATTAATAAAATGCATCAAGTTCTCCATGAGTTGAAAAGACATAGAGATTTTAAGACTGTAAATTTTATAACAGCCCTGCAAACAGGTTCTAGTTTCCTTTATTTATATCTGTTTGAATGCCTGCACTCACCATTGAAACCATTTGTTACAGAAGTTCGGTAAGGTCTTGTGAGCTGCTTGGGAACTATCAGAAATAAAAAGTATCTGTTTTCATCTTTGTTGTTACTGTATTGATTTGGGCAATGAGGCTTTGAGAGTCATTTTTACTTCACATAGAATTATCCACCCTTCTGACTGTCTCTTGAAACACTCAGCAATACAGATCTTCATAGCTAAAAGTAGGAGAATTGAAATAATTTATTCTGCAACTTATTGAGCTGATACCAGTTTCAAGCCATTAAAACAGTGTTTTTTTTAACAAGTAGCTTATTTTAGTGGCTGTCTCCTTACTGCTCTTTCTTTTCTTTCCACAGGAGAAATTAACCCAGGAGTGTGTATTCAGAGAGCAATTTGAAGAAAACTGGTATAACACATATTCATCAAATCTATATAAACATGTGGACACTGGAAGACGATACTACGTTGCGTTAAATAAAGATGGGACTCCAAGAGAAGGGACTAGGACTAAACGGCATCAAAAATTTACACATTTTTTACCTAGACCAGTGGACCCTGAGAAAGTACCAGAACTATATAAGGATATTTTAAGCCAAAGTTGACAAAGACAATTCCTTCACTTGAGCCCTTAAAAAGTAACCACTATAAAGGTTTCATGCGGTGGGTTCTTATTGATTAGCTGTGTCATCACATCAGCTCCACTGTTGCCAAACTTTGTCGCATGCATAATGTATGATGGAGGCTTGGATGGAACATGCTGATTTTGTTCTGCACTTAAAGGTTTGTCCTCCTGGAGGAGAGCCTATGCCCACTCGCTTGATTTAGTACGAGAGGGAGCGCGAGAGAGTGAGTGCGAGAGGGAGAGAAAGGGAGAGGATGAATGGGAGTGAGAGCGCGAGAGAGGGGAGCCGAGGGGAGGAGGAGGGTGAGGAGGAGGAGGAGGAGGAGGAAGGCCTGATGCATGCTGGGGAATAGACTCGCTTTTAAATTTTTGATCAGTTGTACTTCGTCATATATCAGCATAGCTGCCATACTTCGATTCATCAGGATTTCTGGCTGGTGGCCTGCTCAAGTGTACGCTGCATTTACAAAGGCATGGAGGGTGCAGTCTTACTTAAACAAGAGACTTTTCAGTTAATCGCTCTCTGGGTCTCACCCCACTGAGTTTAAAGCAAAGACCTCTTAGTAAAAAAAAAAAAAATAATAAAAAGTTAAATTTATTTATAGAAATTCCAAAGGCAACATTTTATTTATTTTATATATTTATTTATTATATAGAGTTTATTTTTAATGAAATATGTACAGGCCAGATAGGCATTTTGGAAGCTTTAGGCTCTGTAAGCATTGAAATGGCAAAGGCCACTATGAACCTGTGGTAAATTCATGCAAGTAAATATAAAGGTGCATGGATAAAAAAAAAAAGCCAACAATAAAAAGGTAATAATAATAATAAATTCTAGTGACCCTCATGTACTAAAGGCGACAATCTCTTTTGTGCCCGTATTATTGTACAAGTATGCACACCACTCATGACACTGAGTCCTCACTCTTCTGACTGCTTGTTTCATAGCTTACCCCAGAGGATTAAAAAGAAAACTGGGTCTTCAACTTTTTTTTATGTGTCTGTAATATTTCCTCTCTGATAAAGTGACTTCTTACATCATTGTAAATTTCACAGCTGTGGAAAATATAGGGGTTGGAATATATTCTACTTGTTAAAACCTATTGCAGATTATACCAAAGCTAAATGATAAATATGCTATTTTTTTCCTAAAGAGAATGCCAGAAACAACATAAGTAATACCAACAACAATTATACTAATTTTAAGATTCCACAAAGAACACATAAATATTTCAGAAGGCAAGAACCAGGTTAACAGGATCACTCTTGTAAACATGTTTATTTGTGCACTTGACTATCTACTATGAAATTATACAAGTTCCATAGGGGTCATTGTAATACCTTTTATGGAAAATTGCTTTCAGTGTGAACTGTCATAATACATGATATTAGCACCCTTCCTAAAGTAAAACTTGCAAAGTGAAACTAATAAATCTCTATCAATAATGACAATGAGGGGGACAGTATAAGACTTATTTTTATTGTTTTTCCTAAAGGATGTTCAAATATTCATGAACCCTAAGTGAGAAAACAGTATATAGTATTTAAAGGTATGTAACATTTTAAGATAAGCACACAAACACATTGATTAGCAGTTACCATTGGGAAATTAACCCTCAGGAAGAGGCATTTTTTCCCTAATACTCTGAAGAAAAGGGGAGAAAAAGAGATGAAAACCATGTGTCAAGATCCATATAACAAATGCATTTTGTAGTTTTATCCCTTAGGATTTCAATCCAGTGCCATTACGTTGAGTGTAGCCTTCACCACTGGATATGTTGGGAGCAAGGCTGGTCCTGCCACCCTGGCTGTCTGCATACACACAGGGACTCCTTTGGAGGAGTGATATAAAAGGTTGTAGCCTACTTGTAATTAAGAAATTTTTGCTCTACAGCACTCATCTGATTGATATTATTTGAAGCTTATTTCTGTTCTGGAATGGCCTCTGGCTTGGTGTGCTGAACAAATGTTCCCTTTCCGTGCTGAAGCAGGTAGGAGGAGCCATGTCTCAACCGTCGATATCAGTGATCTCCAACACAACATGGCGTTTTGTTGTAATTGTTCATGGATGATAAAGAGACGTAAATTACATTAGTTGATTTGTAGGATACTTGTCTAGGGACTGTTATTGCCTAGGAATTTACAGCCTTCAGCTGCAGCCCAGGCGTTTGTCTCCCAGCCTTTGGGCGGGATGGTTCGGCGGCTGTGGGTTGGTCTGGTGCCGGATCATTCGTGTGGGCGATGCAGAGGCCGTAGGAGAAGGAAAGGTGCTCCTGGGCAGGACCAGGGCTCATTGCTCCGTGCTAAATGCATCAAGCCCACCACAAGGAAGGGAGGTTGCAACTCTCTGCTGTTTCAGTAAATCCGACATACACCAGGAAATTATTTGCAAAGGTTAAAATGACTTTGAGTCGAGGCCGCAATACTAGGCCACAGTTAAAGTCTTAATGTTAAATTGACTTGGATTTTTTTAGTCATAGGCTAATCATTACTACTAGTTAACGTGTTTTATTTAATTTATTTTTTTTTGTATTTTTCTACAGAAAGGATTAAACTCGAGAAAAATGTTATGAGTTTATGGCAGTCCTTCTAAATAAACTGTAACCGATTTACTCGAATAACCCGTAATGGTGTGTAAATACTGACTTTATGTAAATATAGAAACATGTAATTTAACTTAGGCATTATTGCAAGACTGGAAGGCCCAGGAGCTGGCAGTTTGCCACTCCCTGCAGGTTCACTGGGTCAAATTTGGCCTGTTTCGGGTAGCGAACAACAGATTCTGTTCAGTCCCTTGTGTAAAATGAGCTATTTCTGTTTGTTTTCGGGTGGGGGATGGGCAAAACGATTGTCACCTGGGTGCTGCTCAGCTCCTTTGCCAAGGCATGAAGGGGTACGGACGCCCTCCTGCTCCTTACGTGATCCTGCTAAAACAGGGCTGCAGAGAGCTGACACGGCAAAGAGGGAGGCTTGCAGTGCCTCCCCTCCTGTGCTGTGGACAAACAGAAGCCTTCACCTTCTAGTGCTGTCCATCTGGCACCTTTCTCGAGCTCTGAAATTGACTTGAAGAAAAATCTGAGGGAAAAAGAAAAGAACGAGTGGTGTTATTTTTACTTGGTATTCTGTAATGGTGTGTAAATACATACAGAATTCTGTAATTTGTATAAATATATTGCTATAGAATTTTGAAAGTTGGTATTATTTGCTTGATGTCCCTTCAGAGCATTTTCTTAAAAGTGCACATGTGTAATAATGGGATGGCAAAGAGATGTCCTTGCTTATTCCTAGAAAGAGTGTGAGAATATTCCAGGAAAACAAAAATCATCAACATTTTCTATGCCTTTTTGCTAATCTGGGAAAAATCAGGGAAATGTCTTTTTGGCAAGAACTGTGTTAGCATTTCACCTGAAGCAGATCTGTCTGGGCAAGCAGTATGGCCCAAAAGATGATGGAGATCCAGACCAGTGTTATAATATGGGCTGGTGTGGAGCTGCATTTGGTAGTGTGTAAGGCAGCACTCCCAAACATAGGTGGGGTCAATGAAACATGGCAGAGCTGTGCAGTGCAGAGTGGAAAGAGAAAAATCCTAGGAAAATTGCCTTAAGTTTCTACCAATCAGTGCAGGACTCAAACTGCCTGCCAACTGGATGGAAAAAAAAGGGTATCTTTTGAGAACGACAGTGTATAAGATGTGGAGGCTGGAGATGAGACTCTGGCCTAAAATATCAAGCTTTTCTGTTGTCTCCCTGAAAATAAGATAAATGTGAGTTTAATAAATATGCAAAGAAGAGGAAGTAGAAAAGATGCTTCTGAGGCAGTTTCTTTGTATACAGAATATTGCAAGAGATAAGAGAAGATGCTTCTGCAGCATGCCTTTCACAGTCCCTAGCTTATGCTCTGCTCTGCCTCTTGTACCAAGTAAAGAAGTGTCTCTTATGTTCAGCTCTGTTACTCATGATTATAGGAGCAGAAATGGATGGGCTGTGAGCCATGCTGAAAACCTTTTTGTATGAACTCCTGTCCCACCTAGTGAATTCTCACAAGATCCCCATGAGATATGTCCAGGCTCCTTAAAACTGCAGTTTGCTTTGCAGAAATTGAGAGGTTCCAGATTCTTTGGAATTTTGATGAAAAACTTGGAAACTCAGGTCTCTCCTCATTTAGCTGTGTATGTGCAGGTAGCTGTATTTGTAGGTAAACAGGAGAAAGAAGTAGACAACCATGTAATCCTCAATATTTTATTCCACATGGCCCATTGTTTACTGATCTGAGAATAAAACCAGAAGGCTTCTGTTTTCCAGAATTTTATCTCTGTTCTTAAACTGTTAGAGCTCTCCATGGGTTGTTCACAAATCAGTTCTGTCCTGCCTTTTTGTTATCTTTCACCTTTCCATAATACTACAAGGTGGTTTTCCCATCTGACCCCCAAGTAAGTTCCAGTAGTAAAAGCTCATCTCCTCTTGTCAGGAAGCTGGAACAGCCTGCCCTAGAGTTTGTTGCTGAACTCTTTGGCACTGAAGTATGCAGGTCATGGATAATGGGCACGCACCTTAAATCTAGGCCTCAAAAGATAATTAGTGATTAGAAACAAAAAATGCTGTTGCGAAGTTGCCTTGCCAGGTCAGATGCCAGAAGTTTGAAAGCAGAAAATATTTAATGGTGTTCTGGAAATTTTAAGTGAGGATAATAACCAAGTTCCACCTGCAAAGTAATTTATAAAACCCAGACTTTTTGCTTTTTTCCCCTCATGGTTTTCTACCTTTAATATCTTTTGTGTGTGTTTTCTTCTTTCTTCTTCATGGTAGTGAAAATGATTCTTTTATTTTTTCATTCATGATTTCTGAATTCCAGCTACCTTTGTAAAATTTTTCAGAGTTATTCTGGTCGGAGCCCTTGGGCAGGAAAATTGCCATGTGATTCTGGGTTAGGATAGAGCACAGGTTGCAAAGATGCTGCTGTTGTACTCAGAGTAGCTGTTAACAGTCCATAGAATGTTTTCTTACCTTTTCTTACCATATCTATTACGTGGAGGGTTACAACATTAATTGTACTTTAATACTTTGTATGTTGTTGTTATCATGGGAGAAATCTTTCCAAATGGTCCTCAAGTCATGCCAGCTTTATTAAACCCATATCTGTTGCTTGAACAATCTCTCACAAGTATACTGCTGC